GGATGGGGTTTGGGGGGGGTGGGGGGGGGGAGTAGGGAGTTAAAGGTAGAACAGAGTTGGTGGGGACTGGATAAAAGGGTGTTGATGAGTGTGATGAAATAGATCCGTTTGGCTGTGTGGAGGAAGGTACTGTATTTTTGGAGGGCAGATTTATATTGTGTAAAGTCTTGCAGGGATTTGGATTTCTTTCTTTGTCTTCTAGCTTCATCTGTCTGCCAAGGCTGTAGTGGACGGGACCTGATTCTGTGAGTGGTGAGAGGGGCAAGTGCATGCTTCCTTGACCAATGAAGCTGAGAAGGAATGGCCACTCAGGAAAGTTAGGATTTGTGCAGATGGATTTTGCCAGGCAGGCAATCTGGCTGGAAAGGTTATGGAGGTAGTCATATGATTTATGTTAAAAGGGAGAAAATAGATCATGGGATTACATGCCTAGGTCATTATACAGCACTGAAAGGGATCGGTAGCGGCATCTTTTCTAGAAAAAGTAAGGACATTACCTATTCATCTAGACTAGAGAATGAGCTACAGCAACTTGGTTTGAAAAGTTGCACTAATATTTCTAAAGTCTGTGAACATACTGTGGTTTCCACAAGTTCCAATAGTCATTAGCTTCCTGTGAAATCTTATCCTGTGCAAATTACATTCCATGCACCCAGGGAGTTTTAATTGTGCCTGTAAAACTTGATAATACTTGCCTGACCTGTGAGGTTGGTTAAATATTTTCTCTGCTCACTCTCAGTGCATACTATTAGGGCGCATCTGACCTTCAAATATTGTAATAGTGCTTCACAAGTTAGTACCTTTGCTATGATTCATCTGTTCACATTCCTTTTACTGACTTTGCCAAATTCCAAAAAGGTTTATGCATGCTGTATGATAACCCTGCCCTTCTTGATTGGGAGATGAGATAGTTCTCTCCTACAATTCCTCTGCAACTTCAGGCCCTACAAGCACCTGTAGCCGCATTTCTTTGCGAACACAGAGGGAAAGGACACATCTCAGAACTGTTTGCATGCAAATAATACTTGTTGCTGGCACTGGGCTACCACATTCAGAGCAAGCAATGCTGATGCCGAAACTAACCACAGTAGCAGCTGCGTGGGCATTGTGGGACCAGTAAAAATGTACCTTCTACATACGTATACACAACTGTGCAGATAGAACTGATAATGTGGTGGCTATCTGCCATATAACCATTAACTGAAGAAAAAGTCTACTTTTTATTGCATAAGCATGCACGTGCTATATTATAATTGAATTATGTTAATAATCAGCTTTCCATTTCAATCTGTAGCTGGCTATGACTTTTTAACACAGAAGAAGATTGATATTTCTCTTCCCTGCCCCCACAGCAACAATACTCTGTGCAACAAGCTACCTGGAATTCTCATCTTCCTGTTAATGTGAACGGCTCATTGTTTTTCCTAGAAGTCTGAACAGACTTCCCCTGTTGTATCCCTTTCAATAGGTGTTTCATCTTTGTAACTTGTAAGGAGCCCGCATGAGCAAAGGGATGAAGGGATGTCAGAGTTGCATCTTTTCTTATTGCAACACTCAAAAATGTGATTGTAGTGAAGTTATATAAAAGACATGTGGCCCCTCCAAATTCCAAGAAAAGTATACTATGGGTGCAAAAACCTAAAAACATTGAGTTCTCTGCTTTCACACAGTGGCGTAGTGGTTAGTGCTTCTGCCTTGCAGCACTGGGGGTGTTTGCATGTTCTCCCTGTGCTTGCGTGGGTTTCCTCCGGGTACTCTGGTTTCCTCCCACACTCCAAAGACATGCTGGTAGGTTATTGGCTCCTCTCTAAGTTGGCCCTCTATGCATGCATGTGAGATAGGGACCTTAGATTGTAAGCTCCTTGAGGGTAGGGACTGATGTAAATGTGTAATTATGTAAAGTGCTGCGTAAATTGTCGGTGCTATATAAATAACTATAATAATAATACACATCAGGTGTATTATAAACTAGTGCATCACTCATTTTGAGCTTGCTCACACAGGGCTTGGGAACAAAGTGCCTGGTAGCTAAGTGGCGTTAAAAAATTGGCGTTGGACTGTTTGGGATATATTGAGTGCTTGATTTTTTGAATACTTGTTGTCTCCCTTCCTTTTTAGACCCTTTTTTAGTACCCCCTTTCACATCAGAGTCCCTCTTTGCATCAGGAGCCCCCCTTTATATTAGGACATAAGGTGTCCCCTCTGTTCACATCAGAGTTGCCCCCTCTCACACTAGGAGCCCTCTTAAAGGAGAACTATGGGGTAAGTCTTTTCCCCATAGTTCTCCTTAGGGTAACGGGAGGACACAAACTAGCGTCCTCCCGTCACCTTAGGCTCAGTATACCGCGAGCTGTAGCTGAGACGCAGCAGCTGAAGCGGATCCCGACAATTGTGCCGGGATCCACCCAGCTGCGTGACTGACAGCTGGCTCTGCCTATCGAAAAGCAGAGCCAGCTGTACCCGCCCCCTCCCTCCCTCGTCCGTTCCGCCAGTCAGTGCTGGCGGATGGGAGCGGGGAGGGGGGAATCCAGCCGCTCCCCTGTCACGGCAGAGAACCGTGACAGGATCGAGAGGTGAGCGAATGGCGGTATGTGTTCGCTCACCTCCCGATCTACTGAGCCGACCTGTGACAGTCTCATTGTCACAGGTCGGCTAGAACTATGAGGTAAGTGAAAAGCACTCACCTCTTAGTTCTCCTTTAACATTAGAAGCCCTCCTTCACATTAGAGCCCCCCGCTTTCACATGAGAAGCCCTCTTCACATGAAAGGCATGACGCTTTGTGAACATTTCGAGGCTACCCTGAGCAAGACAGAAGTAGCCCTTGAGAACAGCTGATCTAGAGAACATAAGCAAGTGTAAAGATCTGCCATAAACTTTTCTAAAGTCTGACCTAGAAGGGTTTGTTTTTATTTTAAACTAACAAAACTCCACTTTTCTTTACATGCCAAATTCCCCTTTAAACCACCCAGACACTTACCTTTGCGGTCCGGAATTACTGCATAGGTCTGAAACAAAAGAGACTTAGTGTCACGGGATGGACAAGTAATCTCCACAGACTACATTTATAAATAAGGGCAGGCTGAGACTATGCAATATCTGTGCTCTGTGAAAACAACACAATTGAGTTAAAGTAATATTAAACGATCAAACTTTTTTCAAGAATGAATCCAGATCAAGCAAATGTAAAGCATTGCTTTAAATTCTTGTACAGTAACTATGTTTCCAAAAACAGCTGACTCCAACTCTCTCAGCTCCGCTTCTCTGATCTGCCAAGTACAAGATCACAAGGGACAGAGCAGTCTCTAATAGCTCTCATCTACTAGCATAGAGAAGGAAGATGGAGTGGGGAGCAGGGAAGAGGGGAATGGCATGCATTGCTGTGCCTGTGTGATTGTGGAGACACACACAGCTTACTAGCACACACAAGGATGGCTCCATAGGACCCTGCCAGGCAAAGGAGCCACCCTAAAACTGGATATCAGGGGGAGTGCTCTGGACACCAACAAGAAGCAGCATCCTTTTGTGATTGTGATTTCATCAGCATTTGAAATAGTCTAAAAACCTTATGACTTTAATATCACTTTAAATAAGGAATCCAATTATTTGCTATGGGCATCCACTCCACATTAGTTTAGTTTCCATAATTTATCCCTGACGGTTTCGGTGTTGTCATAGTTAGGCTGATCATATTTCCTTGAGCCAAAAACGGGACATTGGGATGGCAAAAACTGGACGGTTTTAATATTCAATATTCATGAAAAAGATGACAAAAGTTTTATGACAATATAGTAGATGTGTACTGCATAAAGAATTATTATGCTGTTTTGGAGTCGGAGGCAATGAGCCTCTGAACTCGAAACTGCTCATTGGTAAAAAAAATGTGTGGCGCGTCCATAGACACACATGCACGCATATAAACAATGGGAGCGCCGCAATCTTAGTGCAAGAGAGTGGTGTGTCTTCTTACGTAATGTTAGATGCACCACGGTGGCGGCGCACATACAACAAATGACTATATGCCAGAATATATAGTCATTTGTACATTCCGGTATACGGTCATTCGGATTCGGATAAACTGCCAAATTGACAGAAATAAGTTGATTTGGCAGTTTGTCTAAATCCAAATACACATCTCAACAATCAACAATTATTCTTCAGTGACAGAACTCATACAATGCATTCTTTCTGCACCTTTCCCCCTTCCTTTACTGTGTCATATCCTTCCATTGTGTCAGTCTGAGGAGCAGAGAACTAGGCCATTAACCTTGAGATTTCTTAACACTCTGGAGCACTGCCCTGCTGATGTAAAAGCTCTGCTGTTGGTCATATAAAATAGCTGCCTTAAGTCCCCGCCAGTGCCTATTCTTCCTCCGCGGCAGCACAGGCTGGGAGGAAGCTATGTATAGGCGCAAAGTGCCCCCTGTGCGTCTTTACGTAACTTCCTCCCAGTCAGTGTTGCTGCGGAGGAAGAATGAGCGCCGGTGGAGACTTCCTAGGAGTGTGCTCTGTGTGCCTCCTTAATGAGCTGGCCGCACAAATGTATAAGTTAGGGCCGGCCGCAGTTGCTGTCTTCTTAACATTTATATCAATGCGGCCGGCTGGTCTCATTAAGAAGACGCAGAGACAGGAAAATGGGACAAAATTGATTTTTTTTTTAAACGATGGGACAGGGGAAAAACAAAGAAATAATGTTACTGTCCTGTTTAAAACGGGACATATGGTCAGCCTAGTTATAGTCCATATGGTAATGCTACTGCGGAATTCTGACAGTCTATTAAGTGCAGTAAGAACAATTCTTATTACCCACAGCAACTAATGGCTAGAATAGATTTTTGCCAACATTCTTTATTAGCAACATGTAGACAATGATATTCTATACGAATATCAATTCTTGCGGTTGATAAAAGCAATGCTCTACCAGTTTGAAATCACATTGTAAAGAGCTTTGAGACATGGAGAGCTCCCCCATTCGTGTTAACACTCTTCTATTGTGTCCTTTGTTTGAAGGCCACAACTTCATGCTAAAAGATGAAAAGCTCATTATTCAGTGACATTTATTTACAAAAGATAGTTAATATGGGTTATTATGTGGACTTCAGTGATCACTGGGTCTGCTTCTTCAAACTCTTTGAAAAGAGTACAGCTCTTGTTGAACATAGACAATAGACCCTTCTGCATTGTACAAAATAAACAAAGAATCTGATTGGTTGTATGGGCTATACCAAGAGGAGAAACGCAAACAGTATACGGTCTTGCTCAGATACTTACATTTGGTGTATTTTGGCTCCATTTGTTGTCTCCCTTCGCATTATGGAATGATGGCGTCTTTTTAGGGACTGCGATGGGAAGAAAGTCATTGTGTATTAATCCCATTACGAATTCTACCTGCTATGTTCTGGTAAATGTTGTATTTAAAGGAGCTGGCACAAACAGCTGCCGGGTAGGAGGTAAAAATTGAAACAAAATAAAGCACACCTACAGCCCTAGAACAAGCACATCTACAGTCACCGAAACAACAGGTACACTTAAAATCACGGAACATCAGACACATCTATAGCAATAGAAGAACAGGCAGACACCTAACAGTAGATGCACATAGAGTAACAGAACAAAAGACACATATAGGGACATAAAACAACAGCTATGGCTGCAGCCAGACTAGTACACAGTACAACAAATACATCTACTGAGACACTTCCAGCCACAGCGCAAAAAAACAACTACAATTGCAGGGCAAGCCACATAGGAGCAATGGTTACATTTATAAGGAAATTCCCCATGTGTTCTCTGGAATGTATCTCTTTTCACTAGGATGTATTTATTTCCTATGATCCCCAGCTCTACGTAGTGGCCATAATGCAGTATTTTCCCAACTCGCTACTACCCATAATATTGGAAGAATATTCAACCAGAAAATGAAAGTGAAAATAGCCTTAGACCCCGTTCAAACCACGGTATATTTTAAGCGTGCACAAATGTGCATGCTTCAATGCGAATTCATGATATATGCACAAATGCAAAACGCATTTGTGTTGCCATTACTGTGTTATGGCACTCCAAACACGGCCGAGTAAAGTGCGATTTTTGTTCTCGCACACAAAAAACATGAAAGACATGTCACCAAATTTGCGATATACTTCTTTCCCGCAGTGGGGGCACATCCAGAGACCTAATGGAGATCACTGGGGATGCATCCCAAACACAGGAAACAAAGTCTCGCAAACATGCAGGAACACGGGTTCCCGTGCTGCGTCTCCCCACTACGCCCCAAAGTGAATGGGACCTTAAGAACATTCAACTTTTCCCATTCTCGCAACAGCCAGTTAATTCACACAGAATCAATATACAAGCAACTTTGCTGGAGGAATAGCAATACAATTTCTTTTTATCAATAGACCCCTTTAACTTTAGGATTTGGGGCCTAGGTGAAGCATGTAGGCTTTCAGGGTTAAACATTTCCTTTTGTTCCCTTCCAGGTGTGATACATTTGCGTTTCAGAGATTAATTTACTTGTGTCAAAACCCCTTGCAACCAAAAGTACTGTACAGACATACATACATACATCCAGAGAACACCACACACCTAGAGAAAAAAGAACCCAGATTTAGTCACACGTAGAGACAAACAGTAGAAACATTGTTTTATTAACGAACAGCAAACAGACAAAAATACAGAATAAAACAGACATATCCCCCCGCTGCCCCATAAGCACGAACCAGACATTACACATATTAAATATTATTTTTCTATAAATATATATATATATCCGACTGCACAAAAAGAAAAAAGTAAACTGAAAGCGCCCCGCGCTTCTCTGTTCTGCATCTATGGGTTCCTTGTATTTACAGTTTTAGTAAATAAATTAGAAAGGTCGATAACGATAGCTAGATATGGGATATATCTAAATTGCCAGCTTAAAGTGAAAATTACAGTAGTTTCAGTTAGCTTATATTTTGAGACTTTAATGCAGTGTTAAAGGAGAACTATTAGATGAGTGATTTCCACTCACCTCATAGTTCTAAGCCGACCTGTGACAATGAGACTGTCACAGGTCGGCTCAGTAGATCGGGAGGTGAGGGAACACATACTGGGTTCCCTCACCTCTCGATCCTGTCACGGCTCTCTGCCGTGACAGGGGGAGGGGTTGGATTCCCCTCTCCCCGCTCCGATCTGCCAGCGCTGACTGGCGGAACGGACGGGGGAGGGGGTGGGTACAGCTGGCTCTGTCTCTAGGTAGGCAGAGCCAGCTGTCACTCACGCAGCTGGGCGGATCCCGTCATCTAAGTCGGGATCCGCTCCAGGTGCGGCGTCTCAGTATACCGCGAGCTGTAGCTCGCGGTATACTGAGCTTAGGGTAACGGGAGGACGCTAGTTTGTGTAGGAGAACTATGGGGAAAAACACTGACCCCATAGTTCTCCTTTAACCTTAAACATTTTTACAAGCATGGTTTTGGTACTGCATTAAATAAAGCTGTGTAAATTGGCCACTAGAGTGAGCTGTTGGTGGTCAGTGCAAATACTCTCTCTTCCTTAAAGTGGACCTTGCAGTCATAACTGTTTTATCTGTTAGCCATTCCTCATACAATCGTTAGGTGTAGGCAAAGAAAACCAACAAATTAAAAGGTTACCTACCTTAGACCCCAGCTTCCAGCCTGTTCACCTAAGCAAGCATGACATCACTCAGTCTTTCAGAAGCCACCTGGGAAACCTGAGAATGCACTCCTGCACTGTACCTAGGTGAATGAGCTGATAGCCATGATCTAAGCTAAACAACTTGTTTTGAATGCAAGGTCTGCTTTAGCAGATAAATAAGACAGGGAGTACATTGAGGTTCAGTCAACTTGCACTGTGAAAAGGAACAGTATAGAACAACCATTGTATAGCCTTGCAAAGCAGGAAGCAGAGCCTACCTATGTAAGAACCACACAATGTAATAAGCCTCTGTGCACATATATATGGTAATTACATTAAAAACGATAAACTATACAATTTTTTTTTTTTAACAGCACATTCTGATAATATTGTTTTTAGCAAGTTGTTTCCTATATCATATTTATCTAAAATATATTTGGGAGAGCAGTGGGTAGGTGCAGAGCCGGATTAAGAGCATCATGGGCCTGGTGCTCTTGGTCAGTCTGATGGGAAGCAGCAGAGGCGACTCTCTAATTAGACAGCCGCTCGTTCCTCGCTGTGGCCCCAGCAAGTAGCCGCCTAATATGCCTGATTAGAGAGCCAACGGCGCCTCTGCCCGATTGTGTTCAGCGCAGCTGGCCCAGATTGCCTACGGGCATACCAAGGCCATCCGGGTCGGCCGGGTTTAATTTCAGTGGTGGGCCTAAAGCATAGCACTCCAATAGCCTCTATATTAATCAAGCCCTGGGTAAGCGCTCCACTTTTTCTCTGAAAGCAGAAAATCTCTCCAATTTTAGTGAGGTCAGTTTAATGATGCACAACTTTGATCACTGAAAATAGTTACGGCATCTTCTACATTTGCTCTTTGCCTTATTCAATATACTTGTTAGGGTACACAGCAGAAACACAGGACCGTTTCTGCAAAAACAGATGCAAGATACTTGCAGAAATCACTGCTCAACTTTGGACCATTTAAAAATAAGAACTGTGTAATTTCAGGGGATAGAAAAGATATTTAATATAGAAGGTGCAATGAAAGTTGTTTAGCCATAGCAACCATTCACAAGTTCACTTAGAAAAATGAGTGGCAGCATTTGATTGGTTGTTATGGGTATCGCCTCAAATAATAAATAAGGCCTGTAGTACATTCAACATCCACTCATATTTACAATACACATACTGTTTATAAAGTGTAGGCAGGAAGGAAGCACTCCTAATGTCTCGCGACCTTGGACCATCCATCATTCAGTAATGGCACCAGACAAAATTCTCACTCCATTTCCCCGGGTAAAAAGCAGCAAAAAGAGCGAATTCCCCCAGGAAGGAGGCCTAATATAGTAAACCTGCTCCTGCCTACTTGTTTACCTGCACTGGAAGTGTTGACCTCACTATAAGAATTAGATGTAGCCTCTGGAGGACCTGGCATGCCAGCTAAAACATAAGAGGCAGAGACTGGCGAGACTGTGGTTGGACTGTGGGATGTCCTGTTGGGTTTATGAGCCACAGTGCTGTACAGCTGGTCCGCAGGCTTAGAGACCATTGTGCGTCTGACATTATCATACTGGTGGTGAGATGAGGTTGGCATCTTGTTCTCGGAGGTGATAGGTAGACTTTTATGACCAGAGGAGACTGTTTGAGCTTGAGACCTCTTTTGCACCACTGCGTACGTATCATTCATGTCTGAGTTGCCCAGCGGGAGGGACATACTATACGAGAGAAAAGAGAACAACACAGTGAGTTTTGCAGCATTTACATGTCTAAGCAATTATATAACAATCTTTATTTCACCCATTTAGTCTTCACAAGCCATTTTATTCATCAAACTTACAATGAACATTTCCTGTCATTATTTGCCAAAACATGAATTGCTATCGTGTGGTTTTTACAATGATTTAATTAGAAAGTTTGCTATATGTAACATTAGTTGTATTTATGAAGCAGTTAAAGAGACCCTGTCACAAGACAATGTATTTAAAAAATCTTCCCTTTAATGTAAATTTATGGTATATTATACATGTTATGTACCGGTAAAAGCCTCCTTTGTTTAAACATTCAAAAGGCCAGAGACTTCTGCTGGCTGCCACAATCTTGGATGTGATGTCAGATTCAGTGCTGTCACTCCAGTGACACTCTATAGCAGGGGTGGCAAACTCAAATTCATCGGGGGCCGCATCAGCAGTATGGTTACCCTCAAAGGGCCGGTTGTATAGGACTATGCATCTACTCTTTATTATCATAAATAGTTGCCTCTGCATTCAGTTGCTTTTTTTTTTTCAACATTTTCTGTGAGGGTGTCACAAGGGACAGGAAGTGAGAAAAGTTCCCCATTGGAGTCACTAACAAAAGCAAAACCTGAAAGAAATGGTAACTCTTCTCTCTCTGTACAAAAGTAAAAAACATTTGGCTAGAGTTAGATTTTTTTCACCATTAATTTCTACATAAATTGCCAGAACTGACTGCTCAGTGGGCCTATTATGGCTTGAGCAGTATCTGTGTGTGTGATCCCGGGGTGCTGTAATGTATGTGACCAGCCCCGGGTGATGTATAATGGGGTGAAAGCAATGTTCTGTGTGAGGTGCTGGGCCAGCCTGCATGTTCTATAGGAGTTCTGCACTGAGTGGAGTGCGAATGGATGATGGACTCGATCGGGGAGAAGGAGACACAACAGCACAAAGTACCTTTAATCCCCACCATGTTGCACCCGACTCTTTCTGTTTACACTTCCAGCTTCCTGACACCCAGCCTGGCACCGGAAACAGGAAAAGCCGCTGTCGCACGCCTCTGATTGGACCGCGACCTCTGCCCGTCGTCAGGATTGGCCAGGTCTTCCCGTCACTTACAGCAAAGCACCAGCTGGTTGGCAGGGCCCGTCTCCCCGCCCTCTCTATGCTGTTGCTGCGAGAGCCGGGCAGATTATCGGATGCTGCAAGCTAACTGGTCATCGCCAGGTTCGTAGCAGGGGTGGGCGCGTTCTGATTGGATAATGCACGCTGTGCTGAGCCGCTATTGGTCGATTCGCTGTCAGTCAAGGAGGCAAAGCACTAAGGCGATTTGTGTCAGGGGTTCACAGGATGAAAGTGCGGGCCACATTACAAGGTCCGGTGGGCCGGATTCGGCCCGCGGGCCTTGTGTTTGCCACCCCTGCTCTATAGTATGCCTCTTGCCTCCTTACTTGGCAGCTACATAAATGTTTATGTAGAGAGACAAGGGGAGGAGTAGCTAGGCCAGCACAGACGGTAATTAGACACTCCATGAAATGCATGTAGGAAGGGAGCTGTGCTAAGAAATGGGCACTTTTTAGAGAGTCAATTTGCTAGCTTGCTCAGAGGCACACTGCAAGTAAAAAAAAAAAAAAAAATAACGAAAGGGAAAAATGCTGCAGGTAAGCATACTTAGAAAATACTAAAAAGATTTTTTGGCACGTTACCTGCATTTTCTTAAGTTGGTGATGGGTTCCTATTAAGGTTACATAAACCTTGTAACATCTGCAACCAATGATAATCATGGTCATCAAAGGACCATTGTGAGAGAACAATTTTTGGGCCTGTCTATCCGCATTGTGCCCAAGGACAAACACCTCTTTACTGTGTATAGGGCGATACAGATGAAAACATGTGCTCTAAACTTTTTCATGGTTCATAATACGCAACTGAGGTCAGACAGGTATAGCCACCTCACTTCCAGTACAAGTGGCATCAGTGAGAGAAGTATTGTGCATGCCTTAGTGCTGATCGAGCAGGGAGAAGGAAGTGCATTCTGTTAATGCATCATAAAGACTACCTGCAGCATCAGACCTGCTGTAGAAATGAGCAGTGCCCAGGTCAACATGACAGCGGACCCACATCTAGTATAAATGGACCACTAAATCCTAGCGGGTCTCTGTGCAGCTCCACAGTCTGAACTAATGGTATGTCTTTAAACTAAGGCAAATACATAGGGCAAATACAAGCATGCCCAGTGTGAATCCCATCCAATGCACATTTTTAATTACGTAACTTTATCTGAGCAGCCACAAGACAGCTGAGAGCTGGAAAAAAAAGGCTTGCTAAAAGGATAGTAAGGAAATGTTTGGTCAGCAAAATGTATTTGCCTTCCTTTGCAGGACATGGAGGACTTTAATCTCTGAGTGTTGCAAATTAGCCAAGTAGGTGCTTTTTGTTTTCAATAAGAAAAATACTTTATAAATGGTCAGCAATATAATCAATAGCTGTAAAGAAGAGAAGAAAGCAGTAACCCACTATAGCCAATGAAGATGAGCTTGTACAATGTAGCTAGAAAAACAAAAACTGAGCTGTGATTGTCTGTTTTGGAAAAAATGCACATTATTGCTCAATGGAGAGCAATTAAAAGGACCACAAAAGATTTAAAAAAAAAGGTTACATAAAAATGACTACTGATACCATGCAAAGTAGCAACACATGACAAGTGGTAGCGTTGCCCTGAAGGATTACAAGGCAGGACATCTACATGTACAGAAGTTAAAACTTAAAAATACATTTAAGTACCTTAACTATTAACAATAATGTATGTTATTTGTGTATCACTTGGCTGTAGATCTTTAAATCATCTCTGAATTTGTGCGGACAGTGTCCTTCCTTCTGTTCCCCATGGTCCGTGTGTGTTAAGTATCCACCGCTCCAAGCTCACTCCTGTGATAGACTACAATCTCAATACAAATTAGTAAACTAAACATGAGATTGTAGTCCATCACGGGAGTGAGCTTTCAGCGGAGACTACTTTACAACACACACAGGGACCATGGGGAACAAAAGTAGCCCCCCTCCAGAAGGAAGCACAATGTCAGCACCAATTCAGAGATGATTTGAGGATCTACAGCCGAGTGATACACATACTGTATAAGATACATTTTTGTTAATAGTTAAGGTACTTTAATACATTCTTCAGATTGAACTCCTGAGTTTAGTGTCACTTTAAAATAAAATAATATTGATATAACAGCTAAAGTCTGAATATGATTAGCAGCTTTGTAATAATTTGTATTAATAGTTAAGGTACTTGAATGCATTTTTAAAGATTTAACTACTTAGTTTAGTGTCACCTTAAAAACAATGTCCAGCCATCTCCTGTGGGTGATATTACTATTTTACTATACTTCCTAATCAGTCACTCAGCCAGAAAACCTTTAAAGCGGGAGGCACAAACTGATATAGAAGCACTTCTTTTCAGAAGCACGACTAAGGCAGTAATAAAAACCTGACAGAAGTTAAAAACAATAACAATTTATAGCAATGAAAACCTTACCCTTTCTCAGTCTGTCCAAAACACCTATACATACAAATGCTTTGGCTGGAGTTCCAATTTAAGAGACACTGACATTTCGATGTTGGTATAAAACACTAAAAACATTTTTAAGGTAAGGGAAACAGATATGGTTCCCCATTTCTGCACGGACTACTCACCATGAACTGAGCTCCTTCCTGTACTGGGCCTGGGCACGAGGAATTTTCAGCTGAGGTGCCACATCGTCATAATAAGGTACTTTATTCTGTAGGATGAGAGAGAGACACACACAGAACGAGCGGATGAGCTAGTGTTATAACCTCATCTGTGAATAAATCAGGAAGTCCCTGTTCCTGTTTTCACTGCTAAATACAAAATATTTAACCCTCTTCTGTCTGCAAGGGGTTCATTATATAAAACAGAGATGAACGTAGGGTGCTGTAACCTAAGGCAAACAATCAGAACTTCCTGGATCACAATACTGCAATATTATTCTTTTTGTTTTATTACAGAGAAATTAAAACGAGAATCCTGATGGGTTGCAAAGGTAAAGTGATCAAATTTGTAGCCTGTTTTTAGGCTAGACATAGACAGAAAAAAATCTGGTTTGTAAGATAAGATCATTTCTCCAAGGAAGACCAAGGAATCTGGGCCACTTGCAGGGAGGTTTTTAAAAAGCTAAAAAATTCCTAGTACAATAGGGTCTACTGTGTACTTAACCCTCCCCAAATCATATGAGGAGTTAAAAAATCAGTTTAAGTATCACAAACTGTACTCAAAACAGTGTTTTTTGCTTGCTGTCTTGGAAGTGCCCCTTCCACATGCTCGTCCCTTATAGTCCTGTATTAATTGGTTATCTTCTGTGAATACATTTTATTGTGAACAATATCTTAATTGATAACAGTGATCAAACGTTATAGAAATAGTCAAGAAACTTTTCAAATGCAGAAGATGGCATAAAAGAAGAAGTGAAAAAACCTGAGCAAAGGCAAATAACTGTCAGGGTTAAGTTAGTAACTATATTTATTTCAGTTTCAGTAGATTTTAACTGATGTATCGTTTCCTTTGCAAGAAAAAATGAACAAAAAAAACTCCCTTTACGCAGTCGTGGAAATCAAACACTTTTGCAAATATCACTTATCACCCTTTTCCTTCTACTACTGTCACCTGAGAATAGTCCTGGAATGGTCAGTTCTAATATCCTGGAAGTCTTCTACAGACACCTAGATTTGTCATTATCTTTTATCCAACTATACCATATTATATTAAAATACATTTTACCTTAACAAATACCTGTTTAAGCATGATTATTGCAAAAGCTTAGACAATAAAGACACTACATATTCATTAAATGTAACTTAAAAGAAACGTTTATCAGGTTTATCAGAATTTAGATGCATGGAGATTTCAAGGGACAATTCTCCAAAGCCTGTAATTCGGTTACTAGGGACAGTTTGAAATTATGTACTGGACAGCAATGGTGAACAAGGAATTGATTCATGAAAAGAGGTGCCAAGCATGCTTTCTTTAATGCCTTTATTCCCCCAGGCCCTTAGGGCATTCTATGTCTATTGGGTCAGTCAATTTAGCCACTAATGAAGTTCACAAAAAAATAATTTAATGTCAGCAATACATACATGGCTCCAACTTTTTTATACCTATCAATAATGGCACCAATTCCTTAACAAATGCTATCTATACTATAGTATCCACATGGAAAGTGTGACTTGGATATAACAGAATCCTAGAGACAAGAAATAAAACATGAATAACTTCTCTTATCATTTTTGTTCCCTTACCTGCTGCAGGTTTTCATAGTTTTGATTTAAATCATTCAGTTGCTTTTCAAACATCTCAGTAACTGCGTGATACAGGAAATCATACTGCTCCTACAGGAAGAATGTAGATTAGCGACCACAACAAACTGACATTAAAGACAAGACTGAGAGTGAATCACACTTTCAAAAGAGCTGCAGGTACAAACGACTAGTGAACTACTGCTACTACTCAGTAATCACAGCAAGGGAGCTGGAGTCATAAAATTGCTATGTTTATTCTGAGTTTACCATAATCCCTTGAAGCTATATTCAGCAGCCTTGTCACAAGGCTTTTCACAGGATTCCCTCTTAAACTCGCCATACACCTTACAATTATCTGCAGATTTTATGTGGTCAGATGGAAAAGGTGCAACAGATTCCTCCATCTACACTTAACTGTGTGGATGGAGTAATCTCCACCTGGGCCAATCTGTTGCACTTTTTCCATCTGACCACAGAAAATCTGCAGATAATTGTAAGGCGTATGGGCACCTTTAGAAATACAGGGGTAGTGCTGGAAATTAAAATGCACAGTTGCTCTGATTTTGGTTCATTCTGAAAATAAGTCAGGGCATCATAAAAACTACCTGCCACTGAAAATAACAGCAGCCACGGGCATTTAGCGAGTAGTGCAGCCAGATACGTAGATGAATGTTAAAATTAAAAAAGAAATAAAAAAGCAGTTAAGCTACATCCCCTGACTCAGTTTAAACCAACCCTGTTCTTGTCAATGCAGGTAAAAGCAACAGATTATCTTTACTGCCAGCCCCTGCAGCTGTACATACCTACTTTCCCTTTGCTCCCTTGCTGATCCATTCGTTCGCTGGGATCCAAAAGAAATACCCTGTACTTCCAGGTAAGAAGGAGCATATATGACTCACATGTGTTCCTACCACATGACAACACTGTTGCTTGGTGATTGGCTGTTCAGACACCCAGTGCTGTCACATGAGGAGAGAGTTCTCAGACCATAAAGTGGTAATTACCTATGGTGCTATAGCTTCACCCTTGGCAGCAAACGGAGTGGCCAGGGAGCAAAGGGAAGGTGAGTTTTGTACTAAAAGAAGGTGCAAGCTACAATTGCTGACATCTTTCTGAAAATGCCAGTTCCCTGCCTGTTATGCTGACCCCCCTGGCTTCAGTGCTATGTGTCACTGACATTGTATAAGTATGAGCATTAGCATGGTCAAAACTAATGATCTGCATACTTTTTCCCGATCATTGAATCAAAGTCTTGAAAGCAGTGGATCAGTATCACAATTGGGCAATTTACATTTTTCAACGGAGGTAACCAAAGATGGTCTTTATGTTTCTTCCCTGACAGGTTTCCTTTACATGCAAATAGGTTCATGCCTTTGTGTGCATTTTAAAGCTGACCTTTCATTTCATGGACAGCACAGTGGCTGAGTGGTTAGCACTTCTGCCTAGCAGCACGGGGGGTCAGTGGTTCCATTTATGGTCAGGGCGCTATATGCAAAGAGTTTGCATATTCTGGGTACTTTGGTTTCCTCCCACACTCCAAAGACATGCTGGAAGATTAATTGGCTCCTGTCTAAATGTTCCCTGTGTGCCATGGGGACCTTAGATTGTGAGCTCCTTGAGGGCAGGGGCTGAAGTGCTGTATGTAAAGTGCTGTGTAAATTGTCAGCGCTATATACAATACCTTTTATAAATAATGAATGTGCTGGGTCTCTTGAATCACCAGGCAGGCTTGCATTCCAGGAGCCAGAACAGTTCAATCCAGAAGCTCAGAGTAAAAATGTACGCATTGAGCACCCTTCCACTTGGGCCTTGACTACCAACTGGTAACTTAGCTTTGACAGTTTAACACCAGTGCTGATTCACTTTAAAGGGATTGTGCTTTTGCATGTGTTTAATTTATTTTGATCTGACTACAATTATTTTTTAAGTCAGTATTTTAATTCCTCATCAACAGGCTGGGTTCATTTTTAAAATGTTTTCCAGGCTAACCTTACCTTACCCACTTTGCTGAAGAATGCCTGTTAATTATACATCTCAATAGTTCAAGCTCTTATTTAAACAAATAGGAGCTTGAGCTACTGAGATCTGTTCAGACAGCTCTCTGTGGAGTTTTAATCAGACAGATAGAAAGAATAAGAAAGAGCCTGGAAGCAATCAGTTTCTGCTGTGTTCTCTCTTTGGTAAAGCCATAGCCATATGGGAATCCTATTGTCATGGCTGTTCCCTAATGCTAAAGATATCAAATATATGATTAAAAACATAAGAAAACGAAAATAAAATTCACCCACACCCATTATTGTTACACCTTAAAGCAACTCTGTCATAGGGGAATAATGCTGTCAGGTGTAGAGTGCAAGCATCTAGAAGTGAACATACCTTCAGCAGCCCCCAAATCCCCATTGATCTAATTGTTCAAAGCATTTTTATGAACCAGGTAAAAAGATAAACAGAGTAAAAAAGCACAGCTATTTAATGAGGAACATAATTAACACACCTTTGTCTGGATGGCGGATGGTCTTTGGCGCCTCATCTCCATCACAACTTCAAATACACTAAAGTCACTAGGCACTTTCTACAACAAAGAGACACAAGAGGATCTAAATATGCATGCATGCTGAGTCTGTACATCAACTTTGTCTAAATCCCTTCTGTGCAATTTTGATAACAACAGCTTTTTTCTGCTGTCCTTTGACCTGACGCAAGCTCAAACATCTCTGAATAATAGCCATGAAGCTTATTGCATTTTCTGGGTGGTACACCCATCTTTTAAAGCACCACCATTAAATATCTTCTGTTAAAGCTTATCACTGGTCATTTAACTCCTTTTCTTCACCAAACTGTGTTTTATTGCTGGGTTTCAAGAGTCCTTCCTGCAGGACTAAGCTTCATTAAAGGAGAACTATGAGGTGAGTGCTTTTCACTCACCTCATAGTTCTAGCCGACCTGTGACAATGAGACTGTCACAGGTCGGCTCAGTAGATCGGGAGGTGAGCGAACACATACCGGGTTCGCTCGCCTCTCGATCCTGTCATGGCTCTCTGCCGTGACAGGGGGAGGGGCTGGATTCCCCTCTCCCCGCTCCGATCTGCCAGCGCTGACTGGCGGAACGGACAGGGGAGGGGGCGGGTACAGCTGGTTCTGCCTCTAGATAGGCAGAGCCAGCTGTCACTCACGCAGCTGGGCGGATCCCGTCATCTACTTCGGGATCCGCTCCGGCTGCGGCATCTCAGTATACCGCGAGCTGTAGCTCGCGGTATACTGAGCTTAGGGTAACGGGAGGACGCTAGTTTGTGTCCTCCCGTTACCCTAAGGAGAACTATGGGGAAAAACACTGACCCCATAGTTCTCCTTTAATAACTATGAACTTGAGTTTTGCAAAAAAGCTGAGCTCCAGATAACACAATTTAAGGCAGTTATACATTCATTTAAAAAAATATTACATTTATTGTTACATTAAATATGTGTTGTCACTCTATCTATGGAAAGCTTGATGAGAGGAAGAGGTAGCAGAGTGATGGTCTCATCAGCATGGTGATACTTTTGCTTTTCATTGCACGCGTTTGAATACAGCTGCATGCAACATAACTGTTTGTGACCTTTCCAAAATTAAGACACTGCTTTCACCTCCACTTCTTCTTCCTTTGACAATGTTGGGAAAAAAGTAGTTTAATTTTCAAACTAGATGTGGCTGAAACAACATGTCAAAGTTAAAACTGAGAGTGAAACTTGAAAATTGGAAAAATAATTAAATTTTTTAGTCTGCCCACATCTGAGCTGGAAGGCAATGACCACTCCTATGTTGCAGATTTTTTACAACCATCTCTTACAATCATTTTTGGTATCTTTTAGATCCTTGGTTCTCAACTGGGGGGTCATGACTCAAAAGTGGGTCGCGACCCCATGTTCAGTGGATCCCCGCTTTTCTAGGTAATAGGCTCCTCTGCCTCCTCCTAGAGCAGCAATGTCAGTTCGCGTGCCAAGCAGCCATTCAAAATATGCTGCCTGGTGCAGAGTGTCAGCTTTAGGTGGGATGGGATGGGGCTATGGCCGCGAGGGAGCTCCATGCATACGAGCATTACGTACAGTTCCCTCACGTTTCCTATAGAGCTGCCTGGACCGGACTGACGTCACATTCTAGCTCCCGGCACCTCTACAGGGCGCACAAGGGAGCAGTACAAGCAATGCACATATGGATGGAGCTCCGTCACAGTTGAGCAGATTGTGTCTGTGGTTGTGTATGTATGTCAGTGTTTTTGAGGGCCGATTCACACTAGTACAGTGCGTTAATCGCATAGTACCGTGCAATTAACGCACTGTACCATGCAATCCCACCTACCGTGCATTCTGGTGTGGGAGGTGTGTTGGGTTGCCATTCATTTGAATGGTACCCCAAATGCACCTCCCACCACAGCTCGTAAGCCCGCACTGGAACACTCAGTACTCTAATTCCATGCATTACATTGCAGTGGGACTTGGGTCACGACTTAATGACCAAGGACAAAAGTGGGTCCTGAGGTTACACAGGTTGAGAACCACTGTTTTAGATGATTTAGGACACTGTAGTGTATGAACAAAAGGACCTGAAAAGGAGCACGCTAAAAGTGAAAGGACTGTTGCTCAGAGCTGCTAGCTTGGCCTTTTGTGTCTACCTTTGGAAAGCAATAGCTCTTCCGTGAAGCTTAAGAAAGGTCAAGCAAACATGTAAAGTGCTGGCGGCCTCAGAGCTGGCTGCACCCTATAGGTTATTGGCTGGTTTTGACAGTGGGGAGGAAGGGGGGCAGTGGACATTGCTGGTGCACAGCAGCAAGCAGTCAAGGGCAGAGCAGTTCCGCTTAAAGTGACACTAAACCCAGGAGTTAAATCTTAAAAATACATTCAAGTACACTATGAACAAAAATGTATGTTATTTACTACAAATTAGTAAACTAAACATGAGATTGTAGTCCATCACTGAAGCGAGCTTGGAGTGGTGGCTACTTTACAACACACACAGGGACCATGGGGAACAAAAGTAGCCACCCTCCAGAAGGAAGAACAGTGTCAGCACCAATTCAGAGATGATTGAAAGATCTACAGCCGAGTAATACACAAATAAGATACATTTTTATTAATAGTTAAGGTACTTGAATGCATTTTTAAGACATACCTCCTGAGTTTAGTCACTTTATTCTCGTACTCAGGGACCATTATCAAACCAGGTTTTGGAAATCTGGAGGTAGCAGCACAGATATTTTAAATAATCAGATTGTAAGTAATTGGCGGTGTGGTTAACGGAATGATTTTAAAGTCCCAGTCGCAGCACTTTAGATGTAAGCTAGCTGCTTACTGCTGTGTGTCTCAATCATATTTTACAATTTCCCCACTAACAATTAGCATAATATTCTGTACAACATGCATCTGTAATATGCTGTGTAAGGCCTGACTCATCACAGGCCTAGCTTTGAAAATAGCCATTAATTACCCCACCCTTCAGCTTTGCCTGCAACACAGTATTTATTGTTATAAATCAGTAAGAAAACTCTTTGCTGCCCTCTAGAAGAGCAGCGAGGTTAGTGCAGTCCCCGCAGGTCACCTGTTTGTGTAGTAAACATTGGATGTATTCCACGGTACAGATCACCCCGGTCCGTCCACATCCTGCACTGCATGGGAGACACAAAGACACATTACACTCAGTAACCATCCAACATGCAGAAAACACTTAAATATAACCCTGCAATTCCCCTTTGTAGCAACCTTGTCTGGTGGCATTCGGGGATTCATTATTTCTTTAGATTAGAGAGGTCTCTAGGGAAATTCATCCTCATTAGCTAACTTTGTGATCATTGTAAAATTTGGGGGTTTTCTCCCAGTAACTCCTCGATGTAATATGTGATTACAGGGTCTTTTAAATGTCGGACTGAGTCTCAATTAAAGAGAACCAGTGATGACTGGGCTCATGCACGGCTATGGATAGTCATTCTTAATGCAGCCTACCCAAGCAGCTTAGTTACTTTCCTTCTCCCTCCTTCTGCACTGTTCAGCCTCAAAGCCCCTTGGAAGCTACAAGTCAGTAAAGTTGTAGCTCACAAGGGCCTATGGGACTCCCTGTGTGACAGTTATTGGCCCAGGGCTCGCACATGAAGTAAGTCACAGGCTTCTTCATACCCAGAAGTATCAGGTAATTCCTTCGGCTCCCAGAACTGAACAGAGCAGTAGAGGAGCAAAGTAAAGGTAAGTGTATTCTACTGGGAGTGGGAGGATTAAAGCAAACCTGTTGCTTTTCTTTGCATTAGATTTACTTCCATATTCAACAGAACTATTTATGTCTGAAGATAACTCATGAGCTAAGATTCCGAACTGAAAGGCCTGTGAACTGCATCTCATGCTTATAACACAAAATGTCTCCTAGCTCCGGAGTGTACATAAAAGTATGAAAGAAACACCCTGTAGTTAGGTCTAAACTACATGGTCATTTTTTTAAAACTCAGCTGTGCTTCTAAAAGTGCCTGCAAGTAACTAGTGAGAGCATCACTCACTGATGAAATATATGGCTCCCTATGAGGTAAGCTACACAGCTGTAGCATGTAATAGCATACAGTAGAAATTATTGTGCATTATCCCACGGTGCTCAACCTGAGTGTGATGTATCCCTATATGCTACTGTGTAGCTTACATCCAAAAAAAGAATGTGCTCCACAAGTGAATAATTGCTATTCTTACTGATAAATGACAGCCAATTGCAGTGTCAGATTTCAGAAACTAAAAATATGTCTATGTAATGGGAAAGATCATTTTAGGACTATTTTATGCTGTTACGTATACTTAGAAACTGGGTGACAGCATGTTATATTAACATGTCCAATTATTTGTGAGGCCAGGCCTGGTGTGACCTCTCACTTTCAGCTTCAGTGACATCTTAAAACACAGCTGTAATAACGTCAAGTGGATCTGTAGCAGACCCAAAAAAGATTTACACTGGTAGATTATAGACATTTCTATTGCTGAAAAACCTAACCTAAACTGATAACAAGCTGCAGCCACACCCTTCCACACTGCACAATCCTTACCTGTTACTTGCTCCTTGAACTAGCACCATGTTTCCTGAAAACTACTGCTGCCCAGGGATGACACCTGTGGGGTAAACCTGCACACGCACACACCTTACTTCCATGCCTGTGCATGTCAATGAAGACATGAATGTCTTGCGAGATTAAGAATGACAGGGAAGCGACAGCTTCTGCACAGCATTCAGAGCTCCTCTGAGGCATCTCAAAGATGCCCAGAAAGAAAAAGCAGAATGCATGCTCAACCCAGGGGGGCCCTGACAGGAAAATGAATAGAGAAAATGGAGAAGAGAACATTTTTTACAAGATGAACATTTCCTGTTTCAAAAGAAATGTTACAAAATACAAATACAGCTAATTAGGTAACTTTAGTATCTGAGCTGTGCTTCTAAAAGTGTCTGCATTAAACTGCAAACAAACATTTTCACTTGGCTTCACATTTTGCCCTGGCTGCAGCTCTTGTAGAACTGCTCTCACCTGCAGTGCACACAGATCGGGGCGCTGTGCTGTCCTTGATGTTGACGCACCAGTTTGATCATCTCAAGGAAGCAGGAGTAAGAGTCTGGAATCCCACGATCAGGCCATGCGATATACTGAAAGTGACCAATCTCCCGTACTTCCTACAGAGAAAGTAGAGAAAGCAGCAGTCTTAGAATATGACCTTTTCCAGTGGTTTGGTAGAGTGTCTGTACTAAAAATGAATATTCTTCCAAGGCTATTGTATTTATTTCAGGCAATACCTATTGAGCTACATAGGTCTTATCGCAATAGACTGGAAGTAGAATTTTATAAATTTATTTGGAAGGATAAACACCCTAGACTAGCCTGGCCTTTGTTGAAAGCCCCCAAGGCCTGTGGAGGTTTGGACAAACCTGACCTTCATAGGTATTGTGTCGCTTCCCAGCTCACTAGAAATATTAGCTGGCACATACATGGTAACTCTAAGCTGTGGATAAGTATTGAGCAGGGATGGTCACCTTTACCACTGTCCTTGATAAACTGGTTCCCAGATAAGAATAGGCGAGGTAGCCTTCATAGTCACTCGTTGATTGGGGCTTCTATAGTGAAGTTCTCTTGCTTACGTAATCAAAACATATTTTCCACTGCAGACATTCCTCTGACTCCACTGAAGAGTGATCCTGACTTTCCCACTGGTAACCCAATTTCTGAGTCACTGGACTTCTGTGAGTTCCTTGGCTGCGATGCTCTTTTCAAGGAGCAAAAGTTTCTGAGTAAAGCAGATCACTCTGTGCCGCAAAGGCTCTATTCCTTGGTGGACATACCTCCACTCAAGGCACCATTTGATGGACTCCAAATGACAGGTGAATTTTGCTAGATTACTTAACCCCCTCAAGAAGGCGTGTGCAGGAAAAGGACCAGGCAGACACTTAATATTATGGCTATATACACTCTTGAATGAAGGTCAAAATGCCCATTTGGCTGTGCTTCAGTAATAATGGGAAAGAGCGCTGGTATAGGACCCCTGATTGCATCTCTATGTTTGTCCCAGGGGCCTCACCTCACTGTTTTCGCGGTTGTTTATCCAAGGGTACTCTTTTTCACATTTGGTGGCAATGCCCGAGAGTGCAGAGATTGTGGATTCGGGTGTACAATTTGCTGAGAACTATTTTCAACTGTTCCTTTACCCGGAGTCCTTGGGAGGCTCTGCTGGGAAGGCCAGTTACTCAGCTGCTTTTGTTTTTCTGGCTACCCGTCAGATGGCTTGGAAACAATCAACCCTGAATTTCCTGGAGGTTAAGCAAAGAGTCATAAGCATAATGGTGCACGAAAAACTCACGGCTATCTTATCTTATTCTCATTCCTCCTATTTGAAGACCTGGTCCCAGTGGCTGGAATATGTCAGCCCGCTTAATCTTGACCATACGCAGCTTTCCCTATAGTTGGGCACTTTTGGTAAGTTGCCTGCTGTATCCCGCCAGCCCCTGTACAGTCGCTCTTTTCTTCTTCTCTTCATTCCCTCTTATGCTGCTCTTTCTCTGTTCTTTCTCTTCCTGCCCCCACTCAATTTTAGTGGCTATCTGTGTTCATTTAGGGGCCGTAGTAGTTGAACCATTGCACTTTTGTTTAGCCTTCATGTGATTCTTTTGGGTATAATGTTGGTGCCGTAATGGCACTGACCCTGTTGGTTATTACTGTTGTATTTTTGCACATTACTTTGTCTGATTATGTTCATGTGTTGTTCTTTGGGGGGTTTTTTTTATTCATTAAAATTCTTTGGAAAAATAAAAATGGGAAAGAGAGCTGGGGATTTGCATGTTGGAAGTGGCTTGGCAAAACATGTGTATAGGAGTTCATAAAATATCAGTGAGTAGCCAAGTACAAGAGACTAATTACAAGATGTTTACGTTTTGATACAGAACCCCCTAAACCCTTCATGTGATTAATCCAAGTATACTTTAGGTATGTTGGAGGTGTCAGTAAGCCAAGGGTACGTTGTCCCATATCTTCTGGCACTTTACTCAAGCCTTTTTGGAGGCAAATTCATGACTTGATCTCTCAAATCACAAGAGTAACTGTATGGTTTGCCCTGGAAATGTACAC